GAGTGGGAGGACATGATTCTTCTCTCCATGTTTCTGCTGACTCAAAAAGACCAATAGTTCAGTATAACTCTAGATGGCGTGGAGTGAACGAATGGATTATACTAGCTCTGTGGGACCGGAGGTTGAGATAAAGTCAGTGTCTTGCCTGTTAGTGGTTAATTGGTAGGTTTGACTAAGAGGTAGGCCCTGTACTCCTCCTTATTAGTAACCTCCGGATTGACTGGTGATACCTAAAAAACATGTGTCACCTGCTCTGACTCATCCAAGTTAAGAGTGAATCTCAGAAGTCTCATATTTCTTCAGGAAGTTGAGTTCAGAAATCTTTCATGAGATCAGGTTAAGGTGACTTTCTTCTACTGTAAATGTTAGTAATTGACCACAACAAAGCAAATAGGCTCTAATCGTACATTTGTGATAGGATTATATTTTTTTGGTGATTGGGCATTTAGGAAGTCAAGATATTTTATAGCCATTTTTCTCCACTAAAACTTTGAAAAAAGTTGAAGTATACAGTACTGAAAATACACTAAAACAGATTAGAATTTCTTGTTCTGGGAGAAACTAAGACGAAGAAGGAACATGATTAAGGTTAAATGACTGTAATGTGTATTGACATGACCAGCACAGATATAGTCTCCAAATAGTGGACTTCAGAACTGTAGGAAGCTTTCTAAAAGTTGTCCTCTGCTAGAGTAAGAGTTTACGGGCTGGAAACATACATACAGAATGAATGTTCAGTAAAGACATAGGTTTTAATAGTGAACATTTATTGGGTCCTTTTCTGTGCTAAGTTTGTTACTATATTATCTCACTTAATCTTCATAACAACTTTAGTGGGTAGGTCTATTTATCTCCATTACACAGATTAGCAAACTTCAAGTTCAGATAGGTTATACAGTTTCTCCAAGATCACCCAGGCCAGAAATGGTGGAGCTGGGATTGAGGATGGCTCCTTCACGGGGTATGAGGGAAGGCATAGGGTGTTTGGAGACCATTGCTTGTTTTTAACATTGCTGTTCCACAGAAGGAGTATAGTCAGTAATATTGTAGTAACTGTGTATCGTGTCAGATGGGTACTAGACTTATTGGAGTGATCATTTCATAAGTTATATAAATGTTTAATCACTATGTTTTATACCTAAAATTAATATTTTATGTCAACTGTAATTGAATATGATTTTTAAAAATATTGCTGTCCCTTTTAAAATTACTTATACTAAAATCTAGTGATCCTCATATGGCAGTTCTTGTGTTTTACTTCTCTTTAGTAACTCTGTCTTCTTAAGTAGGTCATTTTCATAGAATGTTAATGAGAACCTTGAAAGAGAATATGGCTGGACTGTAGCCTGGCCTCTGAGAGACAAAAAAACAAAACAAAACAAAACAAAACCCCCCCAAAACCCATCAAAAAAAAAAAAAAAAAAGCTCACCAAGAGAGATCTTCTCACTTCTTTAGGGATAGTGAGAAGTTATTTTTGCTAATCTTGGCTATCTTCAGGAAGAACTTTCACTAAAGGATAGTTTTAACTATCCTTTAATAGACTGTCTTAGTGTATATTCTGGCAGTCAGAGAGTTTATATAAAAGCCAAAACCTCATTGATATAACTTTTTTTATAGGAGAAGGTAGAAAATGACTAACTACTACTAATGTAAAATTCCATTTTTCACTCAAGCCACCCTGGGAAGTTCATTCAGTGGTTGTTTATTGAGCACCTACTGTGTGCCAGGCATGATACTGAATTGTGCTGAATGTGATCTTGGAAATTGTCAAGAATAACCCTAAGCAATCCAGCTATCCTGGATAGTTTACAGTTAGATTTTTATTTTATTTTTTTGAATAATAATGATGGCTTGCACTCACTCTATGTTATTTAATGCTTATGCAACTCTTTGAGATAGTGTTATCATACCCGTTTTACAGATGAGGAAATTAAAGCTCAGCAACATTAAGAAACATACCCCATATTACACAGCAGGGCCTTGATGATATGAGCTCCTCAAGAGAATGTTTTAATATAGTACTTCACAGTTATCCAAATACTATTACTTATATTATCTCACCTAATTTTACAAACAAAAATAATAGTAGTTATTATTATATTCATTTTACAGATTGTAATAATCACTTGTATTTATTATATACTTAATGTTGCCAAGAGTGCTAGATAACTTATCGTATAAGGCCTAATTCATGTAATGCTCACAACCACCCTAAATAAGCATCATCATTCCTATTTTGCAGATGAGCCATTGAGGCCCCAAAAGTTTAAGTCACTTGGTTAGCACAGTGGGAAGCCGTGATTCAAGCCTAGGCTTGTCTGCCCAGCCAAGTACATGTAACCATTTTGCTATATTCAGTTTACCATGTTATGCTGTCTTATTTTCCACATGAGGAAAGCATGCTAACACAGCTGAGGTCATAGAGCTTGTAAATAGTAGAGCTGGACCCCGCTCAGATCCTTCAGTTAGAAAGTTACTTGTTACCCCAGCACTAAGGTACCTTTCTCCACAAGGAGAACTAAAAGAGTGTATCAGTTTCTCTGATTCATTTGTGATATATTTAACTTTAATAATTGTAGTTATTCTTCACCTTTCTTTGTATTTTTCTCATTTGGGAGCAGGGAGCTCCCCCTACTACTGGTAACAACATGTTATAGTAGAGGAATGAGCATATAGGCTGGACTACCTGCTCAGGAAGTCATCTGATGAAGCTAGATTAGAACTCAAACCCAAAAGTGACCATGTGTCCAACTCATTTAGCTCTGTAGTTCTTGAACTTTTTGTCTATTGAAAGGAGGCCCTGCCTTTATTAGATTGCTTCTGGTGCTGTAAGGAATGCATTTTTTTTTCCATCTGAAGATCATTTACCATTTCTCTGAATAATGAATTACATTAATGGTTAAAGCAAGGAAGTCAATATCAGATATGTAACAAGGACCACTCACTCAGATTTGAAATGTTGCCAATCTATACAATCTCAGCCTTGAACATTTTAAAGTACAAAAGTTCATTATTTTAACGATCAAGTATCCTTTAGATTTCCCTTTTCTAAGCGAAAAGTTTATGGTAACCATTTACAGTACTATACTTTTATTCAAATTGCAAACTCAGGTAAATGTTTCTTAAAATTGAATTGGATGAAATTTTTCTATATATTTGTTGATAGAGTAAATATCAGATAAATATCCAGATGTGTTTAATTATTTTGACTCAAGAAAAGTATGTCCTATTTAGACAGTCTTTAAATAAATAGTTTCTGAATTGAACAAATAAACAAGAACTAGTTGAAACTAAATGACTTTGACTTTATAGAAAAACTGAGAGACTTTAAAATAGGAATCATCTTAAAAAAACTTGTTTTTTTTTAGAGATAAAACTGAATTGACTATTCAAATATACTAATAGTCTTTGAAAATTAAGAGATAAAACTGAATTGACTATTCAAATATACTAATAGTCTTTGAAAATTAAGCTTTTCATATTCATAGGCTGATAGGTGATGTGGGAATTCTTTTAAAGCTTGTACAAATGTATGAACTCCAGTGTAAACATTCTTTAACCAGGGAACTATCCCTGTGTCACCAAGAGGTTTTTTGTTTTTTGCTTTTTTTTTTAAAGAGAAGAATTAATACTTACTGAGTTCCTTCTATGCTAGTCCTCTCTTCATAGTTTTCTCATGTAATTCTCACCTCCCTATGATTTAGATACTATTACTCCCTACCCCCTTTTATAGATGAGGAAACTGAGGCACAGAGTCACGGAGTACTTAACCCAAGATCACACAGTTAGAAAGTAGAACTCTCAGAACTTGGACCTAATTCTGAACATTCCAAAGTCCATGGATATTCTAACATACAAAGCTGTCTTGTGAATGGCCTGGTGTATTAAAGTGTTAAAAATTAACAAAAATGTTTAAAATTAGCAAAAGAAATGTTAAGAGAAATTGGCTTATGACTATGTTTGATTAGCCTACAAGTAGGAACAAAACAGTTTGAAATATACACCTTTTTCACCCTAGAAACATATGGTACATTTACCTTTTTTTCTTATGTAGACTGATTCTTTCGATAAATCTGTTTGGCCTTGATTTGAGTTTGTATCTCCAAGAAACTCCATAGAGATACATCTAAAAATATTATTAATGCTCAGCAGTTAACCCTAACAAGTTGGCTGCTCACTATTTTTATTACAGTGACTGTAGGTAACACTAGGTCACATTCCAAACATGTGACATCTTTTTAAACAGATTCCAATAGGATTAAAGACATTTCCCTATTCTCCTGTTTTGGGTCATTTCCTTACTGTCTGGATGGTGTTACAGTTTTTCAACTTTTAATGGTAGTTGACTTTCAAATTAAGTTTTGTCTTTTCGTAAAAGTTATTTTCTGGAGTAAATTTACCATGAGAATAACATAACCAGCTCCCCTCCATCCTGTTCTTCTCACGTGCTGCCTCCTCTGTTCTCACCTCGACCCCCAGCCTCTTAACCCCATGCCGGGAGCGCCATCCCATTGACCTGCCTGGAAAGAGAGCGAACTCTGCTACAATTATGGAATCAAGCATGTTAAAACCAAAAAGCACCTCTGAAAGAGAGTAGCTGGATAGGCAGCAGTATGAAGCAGCAGTCCACCTAAAACTTTTAAACTTTAAAAAAATAAGTAGTACATGTTCACTGGAGTAAATTAGAAAATACATAAAATGGAACTCAGCTTTGTAAAGATAACTGAAGCAAATTGTTTTCTAATGACTATTAGACTTTCCAAACAGAAATATTTACGTGAGAGACAAATAGTCCTTATGTGGGATCCATTTTATTACTCCCATTGACACTGAAAGTCCACAAAGCTTTGTGCTATACAGAGCCTGAGAGGATGGGGTTGCAGGGAATAAAGAGACCTTACGCATTCTTGTTTTTTTCTTTTGCTTTCTTCTAAGTTTGGTTTGCATGTTCTCAGGTCACAGCAGCTGGTATGCTAAAGACTTTTCTTCCTTTTCCCAGACCCCAGGCAGGCACAGTCTTCCCCACCGTGGTCCTACGACCAGTCGTATCCCTCCTACCTGAGCCAGATGACGTCCCCGTCCATTCACTCCACCACCCCGCTGTCGTCCACGCGGGGCACTGGGCTTCCTGCCATCACCGACGTGCCGCGGCGCATTTCAGGTAAAGACCACACTTTAACTAAAAACCCACTCCCATGCCGGGGTGGGGTTGGGGTTGCAGGCAGGGCCAAGTCTATCTTATCTATGCTCACAGTAACTCTCTATCGGAGGCCTGTGGGCAAGGGTTTGACAACTGGCAGACTGGGTCTTCTGAATTATGGGGCTATCACATACTTTAACTTTTAAGTCAAGAGACTGAAAATCCTCCAGAGATGGCATAATTTTCTTAAGATGATATTTAATGCCACCCAGTCTTAGTCCTGATGAACTGGATCCCCATTGGTGGGCACTTGTCTCATAATGAGGGCCTTCTCCTGAGGGCCTTATGCCAGGCCTTCCTCTGCTTGTGTTCCTTTCTTTTCCTAACACCTGCCTGTAGATGAAATGACAGTTACGGCACAGCCCTCCATTTCTAAAGGCATTTAAATCCCAGGAGTCCAAGTTAACCAGTTTCAAGAGAGAGCACCTGCAAACTTAAGATCCTTATCTAGTTATTTCAAGTGCAGTGAGGCCTGGAAGAGTCTTAAAAGGCAATTTGTGGCTTCTGAGCAGCCAGCTCAAGACCGAGGCAGCCTTTCTGTGAGTCGCACAGCACACTGCCGTTGCTCTCAGTGTGGCGGCCCCAGTGCTCACACGTCTACTATTCCAAAGGCACCACAAGAACCTGTGGCTAATGGTGGAAACACATGGGGTAAACAACCAGGCCACTTCTCCATCATGGAGAATTCATCACAGAGAGCCAGAACGTGTCCACGAAAACTTCAAACTGATGAGTCGAGTTAAAGGCTCTTGGCCAACCGTATGAGTCTGGTGAATAAAAAATAAACCTCTCAGTACCAAACCCCCCCCCCCCCCCCCAATGTACATACTACAGCAGTGCCCCCACCCTCCATAAATAAAGAGGTAGGCCCACAGAGGCACACACTGTTGGACCCTGATTTGTCAGACACTCTTCTCAGCGTTCGGGCTCCCTGCACCTGTTTGACTCCTGGCCAGGTTAATGCCTTTCTTTCTTTCTCTTTGTGTTTCTGTCTCTGTTTCTCTCCCTCTCTCATTTTCTGCAAAGCTCGAAGCCGTTACTCACTCCGCTGAGTTGCAACACTGACAAGCTGAAGCTCCACCAGCAGGCTTGCAGGTTTTGATTAGTTCAGACTCCTTTATTTCTTTCAACTTGGGAGGAGGGAAGGCTTTGTTTCTCAAGCAAATAGCAGGAAAGGGCTCTCTGGTCCTAGTGCCTTCACATTTTCTGCAGCAGATGGACTCCTGTAGGGGTGAGTAGGGAAAGAAGAGGGGTGGAGGGAGAACCGCAAGATTCTTCGGAAAACCTTGTCACCGCTTTTCATTATGACTGCTGTTTTCATTGAATCGCATGCCATTTTGGGGGAAATTGTGTAGCGTATAGAATTTTAGTTATCATTTCCCTTGATTGGAATGACTATTTCCTTTAGACAAATATCGATTAAAGACACAGGAAAGGATGATAAGGGCACACAGGATAATGAGGACTGATGTGGAATCAACGGCACAGTGTTGGATGGTGTTGAGTCAGTTCTGGTCATTCCTTTTGTGTTTTATACAGAGTCTGTTTTGTTTAACATACGGCCACCATGACACTTTGTCAGGGCAGATTTGTGCCATCTTGATTCTGTTTAGGGTCTTCTGGGGCTTCCACCTGTTCACCTTTGTGTGGCTGCAGCAGCTTCTGCTGTTTGTCCTCTGGCGGTTCCTAGAAGGAAAACCTCTGGGAGCAATGGTAGCATTAGAGACACTCTCTCACAGCACTTTCTTACTGATGTCTATTTCCATGTGAATTCAGTGGGAAGGACATTGAAAATAACACTGAAAAAATTGTGGCATAAAGCACAGTCATTATTGTTTATCATTTGCCTGTGTAATATAGAACACCGGATTATTCTGAGTCTATTCACCGGTCATTATCTAAAACATTGCCATAAACAGGAGGCAGTAGGAGCAAGCTGGTTAATTGATCTGAGGCCAAAGGTAGGAAGGAGCCTCTGCCTTAAACTAGTTTAAAACTGACTTTAGTCCAGTTTTCTCCTCCCACCCCAAACATTTCTGAGTTGTTGCTGGCAAAGTTACATAGTGCCAGGGCGGGAGGTTCTGTATAAACACGAAAGTGAGGAGAACAGAAAATCCCTTTGGTCAGCATGGGGAAACAGGAAGAAAGAACTGGATGTGGCCTGTCAGGGAACTGGAGAAGTGCTGATATGCCTGACCTTGCTCCCGGGTGTGGGGCTGTGTCCACACCCCAGAGTGCTACCTGGTGGACTTAAGGACCAAGATACCTGGAATGAGCACCATTTTCACTTCCCTGGCGACCAGTCCTAGGAACCTCCTTGGAGAGGAGACTATCACATAGGTTCCAAGGTGCGAAGTTGCACTGTTTCTGTTTCAGGAATATTCCCCTCAGTGTCCATAGCTTTCTCTAAGGCCCAGGATCCCATTTCTCCTTAACACGGACAGCTAGAATATCAACCTTCATCTCCATCTCTAAGCAGTCCTGTGTTCAGTTCTTTTTAGTGCTTTCCAGAACAGTCCATGTTTTTGTGTGGCGTGATCAGTTCTCATCTCCCTGGGATACACAAAATATTCTCATACCATCATGGGTGAGAAAGAATAAAATTCCTCACTTACATAAAGTAGCATCGGAGGTTCAGACCCAGGTTCGAATCCTAGCTCATATGCATATAGGACAAGTTTCTTCATTCTTTGAAACTTTGTTTTATTGTTTTTAAAATAGGGATATAATATTTCTCTCTCAGGGTTACTATGAGGATTAAATGAGACCTGTCATTTATCTAACATGCTTAGGGCAGGCCCAACACACATCACAGACTGTAGCTGATATTATGAAGCTAAAACTGTTTTGTAAAAATTGTCTATATATAATTTGCAGGCAAGCCCTGGCTTAACTATATTAAGTAGATAAAAACCTAAATTTCTGAAGAGTATTATTTGCTGTATAAAATGGATCACCACAGAGCATATTTAAAATAAAACCCTTTGAAATGAGTTAATACTCATGTGTATTCATAAAGCACTTACTACTGTACCTAGCACATAGAAGTACTCAGTACATGTTTGTCATTGTTATCATTATTATTCTATAGATGTATCACAAATATTTATAGAACTAAAAACAATTGGGAGCCATTCACATAAAATCAATAAAACACTAAAAGAAAACAACTATTCAATTATAATGTTGGAAAATAGAAAATGTTAAATTACACTTACATGAAACTAGGGATGATAACTTCATTTTCCAAGAGAACATAGGAATAAAAGCAACCAGAAAGACCTTTCATAAATACGTGTTCCTAAAGAAATTCCATTTTATCCTGAAAGACCATGCCAAAGAAAAACCATGATTTAATCTATTTAAAGACCTTCAGAGATCCAGTTTTACAACTTCCTTTTTTGGTGTCCTTTCTTCTGATTTTTCAAGCGTGGCTACAAATGCTAGAACTTAACGAATTACAATAATGACAACGATATAGTATATACTTTCTATAGTCTCCCTCAAATCCTCTATGAAAACAAGGTGTAAATAAAATAATATTAATAATGGTATGTTACCCACGATCTCTACTTTACTGCAATGAAAGATACAAAACCAAATGTTTTGAAGTTCATAGTTGCAATACAAAATTCAGGAGACATTTTCTTAACTTCGGACAGCCTTAAATATTATAACAACAGCAACAGCTAGAGGTTAGTGACTGATCAATAAATTATTGTCATGTAATTGACAGATAGGGTCTACCTTATTAGAATGAGGCATTACAGTGCAGAAGAAGCCCTGCAGGGATTTGTCCCCCTTCCCCACCATACTCAGTGTGAGAAGTGTGGTCTTATCACATAGTAATCTGTATTTAAGTAGTACCCCTGACCCTGAGTGATCTTAAATGTTATCTCATTTTATCTCATATATTCCTAAAAGAATATTCACTGCACAGAGGGAGCCAAAGTTACAGAACAAGGTGTGGCAAGGTGAGGACCAGTAAACTTGACAACAGCCCAACCATGGCATGTCTTTATCATCATAATAATGTTATCACCCGTGGGGTTTTTGATGTTCAAAGCACTTGTGAGGCTTGACATAAAGATTATAATTACTTTTCTGGAGCTCATTACAAAATACTATGTAAATAAATAATTACTTTCAAAATATATTTTATGTAATTATCCTGCTATGAAAAGAAGCACAACTGTTTATTGAGCCTGATTATTCGACTTATGGGTCTGATTATAAGCTATTGTTAGGCTGCTAAAGGAGAGCATACATAGGTTTATTCATTGTGAATAACTCCTCCCCTGCCCCACCCATCTGAGTGAAGCACCTCAGATTAACCTAAGTCTGTATTGCGCTGGCATCCACGAAATAGAAGGGATTTACACAGGCATTTCTTCTGTGGCTTTGGTCATTGTGCCCATGGCCCCCTCTGATGCTTCCTGGGGGTCTCTGAGAGACCTAGGATACAGGAGTTAGAGATGCAAGGGAAGGGTCCTACGTGTTCTCTGCCTCCGTGACTTTGGAGAGGCCAATACATGTATGGATGATTTTTCTCTGCATTTGTAGGTCTTTTTTACATGAGACTGTTAAAAACTGTAGTCTTCTTGAAGATAATTTTTTTCCATTTATGCAAATAGTCTTGAATTTCTTTCAAAATATTTGAATATCAAAAAAATTCCACTTAATCATCTACACAGAACATTAAAGATGTCTCCATTTTTATGACCCTTAGTCACTAAACTATAATATTTTCAAAGGTCAGAATAGGCATTAGTGTAATAATAAATGAAATTACTAAAATTTTATTACTACCACAAAAATCTAGAAATTGCCAGTGGAAAAAACCCATTTGATCATTAAAGGTATATTTGGGAGGATTGTTTCATGTAATGTAAAAATTGGTGGTGTTTATAAAGTTCATTTTTAAATGTCCCTTATAACTGAGTTTCTGTCAAGTCCCTGAA